TAACTAGTTGTCTTTATTTTTCTGACCATCTGGTGTGGCTCTATTGTGTTACGTTGTATTCCACGTTATGTGAATATGAAAAATTCCCATTTGCAGTGCCCTGGCTTGTGGCAGCAAATCCAGTAAATTATGGTCGGCCATGTGAACTATCTTGTGTAGAGGCTTTATCTGCAGCCTTACTAATATGGTACGATTCTCGTCCAAAACTTCCATATGGAATACTTTTTCTCTGAGGTATTGATGTGTCTGACTGGAAAATTTTCTTACGGTTGTTAACAAATCTTTTTATGTTCCTTGCTAGCATATGCTTTAGTCTACCTAGTTAAGTAATCAAGTAGCAAAGTGACTAGGATTTGTCCTCGACATGAAAGGTTTTGAAAGCTTTAATATCCACATCTTTCTTCTGTTGGCAGTGGGGAGGAAGAAACTGCAAATTTGTTGCTGGGAAAGTTCAATGGGGGCATGCTTTTTTATCCCTCAACAGGGACTATCAAGTTGGAAATATTCTCGTGATATGTAAATTTCTAACTCCCTTGCATAATAAATTTAAAGAAATATGGCCAAGGGTGGGAATAGAGACACCGGCCAATGTATAGTGGATTAAACAAGGGGAAAAAAGATGCGCAAGCTCAAAAAGGGTTAAGAACTATTTGGCTTCAAGTTTCAAACAGGTTTAGAAACTATTAGCTTGAGACTATTGGGGCTGTGGGTAAATGATCCTACCATCATAGATGACGGGAAGTTACTTGCTTGTAGGTCTATCATCTCATACATATTTGTATATAACTCCTTTTATGGATTGTGAATCCTACTTCACAAATACATAGTTGCAGGTCTACTTGTTTTTCTTCATTAATATTGAAAAAAATAAAAAAAAGGGGGAAACATAGAAGTCTCAAACAAATCCATAAGAATAATAGATAAAATGTATGGAAGAAACCAATGCCCATGAAAGTAGTGGTATTCGGAAACTCATCTTCAATCAACTCCCTTAGCTTTTGTGCTGTTCCTCAAAAAAACAAAAAAGTAATATGGTGTAAAGCAGGCACAAAAAAATTCAAACCAAAATTAAGAAACATCTTGGAAGATTATACTTGGGATAAATGATGTTTATGCTTGAATCTACTAAGTTTTAAGGGGAATTCTGAAGTTATAATATGTTATCATTTGTCACTAACGTGGAGAGTACAAACATTATGGAAGGACCCGAGTGCAAACAGAGAAGAATAGATTAGAAATTACAAAATCTGCAGAGGTGCACGAAGAGAACTATGGAAATGTATGCAGGAAATCCAAACCCAAAGGGTTTTTAATTCTCTCAAACTCTTAGTTAACCAATCACTTTCTTTTCCATCTTCATGCAATTAATTTAGAAATTTTATCTACAACTCTTTGGACTTCCATGGAAGATGAACTATCTATTTACTTGTTCATGTATGTTTTCTTTTTATCTAAATTACCCATCTTCATAAACATAATCAACTAATTAGAAATATTTTGAACATAGTATCACTATCTCTCTCAAAGTTCTATTTATTTCTGTTTCAATATCTATGTTTTCTTTTTAATTTTCTATCTCTTCCTCTTGGTACTCTTACTCTATCTCTCTCAAATCCTTCTATTTTTTATCTCATTCTCTCTCTTTCTCTCGAAGCCGAATCATACATTCTTAAATCAGAACCATATACGCGGGTCATGACATATTACTAGTAAATTTGTCTGCAAAATTTAACATGAAAGCAAATTCTAATGTTGATTTTACTGGTGCTAAAATAAAGTTTGATGGTGGGATTGCACTCACACAGTTTGGTTGAGAAAATTCTCGAAAAATTCAATTACCATGAAAGGTCTCCAGCATCTACTCCTTATAACTTGAGTGTTAAATTGTTAAAGTATCACAACTTAGTTATTCTCAAATTATTGACAATCTGGTATTTGATCCACTGATAAGATCTAGCATAGCTTATATAGTTGGTTAGTTATGCAAATACACTACTAATCCTAGAAATTTTCATTGCATTAGATTCATGTGACTACTCAAAAGGTTAATTGAACTAGGGAAGTTACTTGTTTAGAGGTTTTTATTTGGGGGAGGGTGAGAGGAGGGTGGAAACGACCTATTTTTTCTTTGCATATGATACTTTAATTGTTACCGGATGA